TCAGAATGGAGACAGTGGCAAAAGTTCAAGCTGTTTTCTTGCTCTCACTTTGAATGCTTCCCCTAAAAGCACGTCAGCAAGTCTTTCTTTGAAGTGGTCGAGTCAATAAAGCTTCTTGAATTTGAATTAGAAAACAATCCTGATCCCACACTCACCTACTACTGACCCCATTATCCGGGAGACGATGAGGAATCCATGTATGAAAGAGAAAGACAGCGGAAGGAGGGGGAATATTTCTACATAAAAAGTCAATTGTTTGGAGACTAAGTGAGCAGTCTAACAATCACCGGTGCAGATGCCATAATAAACTGAAGAGCCTTTTATGTCACAAAACATAATAGAAGTTCAATGGGCCTAATGAATATAGAGCGGGCTTAGTTAAAGGGTTAGTTCACCCAAAAACGGGCCAACTTGATATTAGTTTTGATATTTTTAACCATCTTTCGAAATTTTATCATTACACTTCCTGTACCTCTGAAAAACCTAATTACACTTATACAATAATACTCTCTGGGAAGCATTTTTGTTGATTAGACAATAAATTAAGATACGTGTTTCTTAATAAAATGCTGTTATTCATTTTAAAAGTTAGATGTACATATAACATAAAATGCAGTATTTTAAAGGGATAGTTCACCCCAAAAGGAAAATTCTGTCATTAATTACTCACCCTCATGTCGTTCCAAACCTGGAAGACTGCGCAACTGCAATGTTCCCAGACCCATGTCCATGTGACATCAGTGGCTCAACTTCAATTTTGCGAAGCTATGAGAATACTTTTTTTGTGCAAAGAAAACAAAATAACATAATTTATTCAACAATTATTCTCTCTGAGTTACCCTCTTCTGCCAGTACCACGACGCATGTGTGCGCTTTCCCCAGAACGTAATCAATGTAATCAGCATTGTTTACGTTCAGGAGAAAACGCGCGCATGCGTCGTGGTATTCTCCAAAATGGCAGAAGAGGGTAACTTGGGGAGAATAATTGTTTAATAAATTGTTAT